CACGTGACTGAAAGTACTGAAAGCATTCAGAAGAATACTGAAGCTATCGCATGTTGCTTGACGATGTTACTATGATACCTGCCATCGAATTTGTGCGGAAAACATATTCAGATTGTTTCCTTTCGCAGCACTGATAAGAATGATGAACGGATGCAGGCAATGCCAAAGCGTTATCTCCGAATGTCAATACTACTGAAATAAATGAAAAATTGTTCTAACATTGTGAGAATCGGCGAATTGAGGGGTCTACTTTCAAAACGCGAGTTTTCCACCTTTGGTGAAAAATGAGATACACGTTATGCGTCGTTCTATAAAATGATTCGTTACAAAAGACGTTTTTTGTTCACTCCAGAGGACTTCATAATAATTTGTTAATATCAGAACGCGATCTTTCAATAATCTTTATTTCTTTGCAAAGGAAATTTCTCATTCAGCAATCAGAGATCCTTGTGTCACGATGTTTTTCGCCACATTATATGAAAATGAAAATGTATCATTCTATAGAAATCTAACTGGTCTAAGCATTGATCAAGCTGATACTGAAAATGATTAGTATTGTGAAAGTCAGCTGTTAGAGGTTGCTGATCTTCATATTTGATGAAAAATGCCACATGAAATATTGAAATCGTAAGGAAATGATTGTAAAAATACCTCTCTTGTAAAAATATTTAATGAAACAAGTTTGAGTTTACGAAAAAAATTCTTTTCACCAAAAATACAAAAAAAATTATATAAATTAAATTTCAAAATCAGACTTTTCAAATTTTTAGCTCAACTTTTTTCGTAATGACTAGATATTCCTTAATTATTTTATATTTTTGTTCTTAGTGTATTTCCACTAGCCAAGAGTATTAATGCCAAACATTTAGCTGCAAAATGTTTTAAACAAATGATACTGAATTTTCTTATTTTTCTCAAAACAGACTAGAATGGAAAAGTTTCATGTTGAAACTAGACCCCTCAAGTGTTATCAGCCAACATTTAATTTTTACATATGTTGATGGTTCCAGGAAAGTTGGGGACTTTTTTGTTTAGTTATTAATGAAAAATAATTGTAATGTTATGTTGTTATTGGTCCTGCTCATACTGGCTGAAATATTTTAGAAATTTCCAAAAATGCATTGGCGGTCCAAACACCACTGTGCTAGCTGAATCGCTGTGAAAAATGCTGGAGTGGCGCAGGGTTAACATATATTATTAATATTATTATTATTATTAGTAGTAGTAGTAGTAGTAGTAGTAGTAGTATTACTAATCTCCACACTACATAATTCATATTTGTAATTTTAAATGCAAGCGATCAATTTTCTAATATCTTCAGAATTGGAATATTTGCCTTCTTCGCGAAAACGAAATTTGACCACTTGATGCATAACAATGTCGAGACAAATGTAGGATTTTGTAATTTAGTGAATTTTAAAGCACTGTAGAATGGATAAAATATCTACGAGGACTCGGAATCGAACCCGCCGCTTAACGAGTTTCAGAATAAAACTTTGACACTTAGCCATTCCTTCACACTTTTAATACGCCTCTCATAACAACACATATTGTTTTAACGAAACTTGAACGGAAAATTACGTTTATAGAAGTTAATGTCGATTCAGTCTCATGAGCAGGAATCACGGAAGTCTTTTTCCTCTGCACTACTAATACTATTTACAGACTCGTCTGGAAAGGGGGATTAGCGCAGGTAGTAGATAGACCGACGCGACAGGAGGCGCTTTTAGATGTTTACATAATTAGGCCGCAAGAGCTTTTCTTGTCTTGCGATATAATTGATGGCATAAGCGACCACAAAGCGGTGTTAGTTGACTTAGACATACATTTTTCACATAAAAGAAGTCCAACGTACAAAAAATCTGGCAGTTCAAAGAAGCAAACACAAAAGGGGCCTTCACCAACTACCATGAGGAGACCAGGTAAACGATCTTTGTTCTGAGAATTGAAGGAGGTATGGAGGAAACTTGGACTGCGTTTTAAAGAAGCCATTCTGGTATAATGCATATGCAAATGTCTTTGTGCGCACAAATACTTAAAAAGAAATTCAGATCCAAATATATTATAATGCGAAAATGTCGACGTAATGAAGAGAACAGGACCAGAAAAGCTTGTTCATAATAGACATCGGCAGTGGGAAAAAGTCATAGATACTTTTCGGTAACTGCTTCAAAAGGAATTAGGCGGAAAAGAAAAATTGCGCAGGAGTCATTTTTAAACACATTTCCTCGACAGTGAGGAAAATAATTGGTCAGGGTTTTACAAATATGTTCGTAGAACAAGAGGAAATAAAGAAGAAATTTCCCTATCGTTAGAGATAAAATAACGGGTTACTAAAATAGATGATCCGGAAAAAGCAAAGCATTAAAGCCTACTTCAGTTCCGTTTTTAAACAAAATCTCACATAACCCAGATATCGAGGGAGGCTGTACCCAACAGTTTAAAATAGCCGTAAAATACATTGCGAAGAAGCGAATTATAATCTATGAAAAATGGAAAGTCCCGGGGGCAGATGCCATTTCAACGGACAATAATTAAAACTCGTGAGAGGCAATATTTACCGTATGCTAATAAGAAATTATTTTATAATTCGATCACACAATTCAGGCGTTCCAAAAGATTGATGCTAGCTACTATTGTTCCGATTTTTGAAAGAATTGTGACAGAACTGTTTTAGCAAATTATAGGCCGGTACAGTCTTACGTCAGTTGGTATGTAAGCTAATGGAACCTATTGGATAACTATTTTATATTAGACAAGAATGGGGGAACAGAAAATAATGGCTATTTCAGGGACAGCGTGGTCTAAGGAATGGTTTCTCTTGCGAGAGTCAGATAGTATCCAATTCTTTCAGGATATAGGCAGATGAAGTTGATGATAGTGGGAGGTGGGTCACATCTATAATCAGATTTTGCGAGCATTTGATGTTGTTTCCCACACGAATAAACTAGTTCATAAATTAATGCATTCGGGTATTGACACCAGCGTTGTGACGTGGGTTGATGATTTCTTTGAGATAGAAAACAGAAAGTCCGAGTTGGACAACAATTTTCTAAACCCTGCAAGAGGGTTTACTCAGGGATCCTTCAAGGAAGCGTTAAATTAAACCACTCCGGTTTCTTCGCGTTTGTAAACGACCTGGCAAGCAATTTATGTTCCAAGATAAGACTATTTGCAGATGACTGTAAAATAGTAATATCGAGTTAATTCAATTCAAAGTAGACGAGGAATTTTGCAGGATGAGCTAGATAGATTACAATCTGGCAAGAAAAAAATAGCATGACTAGTAGTTCAAAAAAGCAAAACCATCACGTTTGTAGGGCCGCAAATATAGTGAAAGTCATACCGTTAGGCAACGAAAAGATTACCAAGAGTCCCTGCTTGTAAGTACTGGAATAATACTTTGATAGCAATAAAATTGAGAAAAGTCAGATTAACTTCGTCGTTAGGGAAGCCTGGGAGATCTTTGCATTTAACCATGCGAATACTAAAAAAGAGTACTGCAAAAGCGAGAGAATTACTTACGCTCATCTTTCAGTTCGTCCCATTAATGGAAATACGGGGCAATTTGTTGGGACCCTTATAGAAATTCACAAAAGGAATATTTGAATAGATACAGAGAAGGCGTGTAAATTTAAATTTTCCGCAGCAAAAGATAGGAAGAAAAAGTAGAATGGGCGTCTCTAGAAATCAAGGAGGGTTAAGGCAAGACTCTCTGCGCATGTACAAAGCGTATGCCGTGTTATGCCAGAAAGATAATTGGAAAGGTATTTTCAAAATTTCGACCTCGATTAACCCACTTACTTGGTAAGCGGATCACAAGCACAAAATTCAGTTCAGAACACAGAGAACAGATGTTGGAAAATTTTCATACACAAACAGAATAATAACGGACTAGAATAAGTTACCTGCGACAGCCATGGAACCCTTTCCTCTAGGTGTACAAAGTTTTAAACGTAGATGAACTAAGGACATTTGTATAAGTTAGGCTTATTAAAATAGTTATTTTAGTTATAATTTTATTGTAATTGTTATTTTTTTATTAGTAGAATTGTGATAATCACTATTAAATGCATTGGTTTGTTAAATATACAATTATATTTAAAGTAGTAGTTGAATTAGAGTGTCGTGACGTGTTGTGAAGTGTAATACAATAGAGAAGTCAAGAGCAAATGTAGTGTAGCGAAGTGAAATGCAAGTGTAGAGAAGTGAAGTGAAGTGTATGAAGTGTATTTATTAGTTACAAATTCCGTACATGACAGTCATAAAGTGTATAGGTAATGCTGTTATTGTTATTATTGGTATAGTATTGTTATTATTGGTATAGTATTGTTATTATTGTTATTATTGTCTTAAAATGATTTAAATTACAGTGTATTACTACTCTTAGTTTTAATATGTAAATTGTAGTGTTCTGCCAGCAGGTTCTATATCTGCCTGCAGAAATAATAAATCTATCTAATCTATCTATCTATTTATTTAGCTTTCAATGGATGTTAAAGTATTTTATACGCTCTCCAATAAAATAAATTTACTATTCATAGTTCGATGTTCAGAACTTACTTTCGAAAATAAACATTAGATAGCGCTGTCGGCCAGCAGGGATGCCTAGCGCCGCCAACCTCTCGGGCCAAAGCATTTTCGACGCGAAACTTTATGTTTCCAAGAGTGTACTTATATACGGAGTAATATATCTAGTGTAGGAAAAGTTATGTAATGCTGCGGAAAATATATTTCGAGATTTCAACGGAAATGCACGTTTTCAGATGCATTCAGGTTTCCCCTAATACTGAAAAATGTTTTTTTTTGAAACGACGGTCCGTCCGTCCATCTGTCTTTTTTTCTATCTGTATGTGTGACTGTCCAAGAGTGTACGTGTACGGGAAAGTAATGAGCCTTGCCAAAATCGACTGCGAATAGCGAGAGTGTAGCCGTGTCCGGTGTAGCTTATCTCGACTCTCAACGTCAGTGGCGCCGCCCTGCGGGCGTGGCGAGGGTACCTGGGCGGCGGCGGCTGCGCGAAGGGCCGGTGGCGGAAGGAGTCGCCCAGGCGCTGGGGCAGCTGCGGCGGCGGCGAGGTGGGCGGCAGGTGGCCCGCCCACGTGCACGCGGCGGCTGCGACACACAACCACAACACAAATAGGCGACACGTTTCTTTAAAACTATTCATCACAATTACCATAACAATAACAACCGAGATAATAAAGTATATTAAATGACGGCGACTTTTCCAGGAAAACAAAAACAAAACAAAAGCATACAAATTACTAAGAAGCATAAAATTACTAAAATACCTAGGGCTCTATTTTCCTTTTTTTCTTCATTTAAACTTTTAGGCTTTTGAGGATTGGCAATTGTGTTTTACTCTCAAATTTACCGTCTTTTCAGCTTTTCACATTGAATGTGAACTTGAAAAGATTTAATTTCTAGTGATCGACTGCAGCAACAATGCTGAAGAATGAAAGAAGACATTTTCAATTTTCCCCCGAGTTCCTGGGTAACTAAGGAAACCATAGGGTGCTTCAGATTTTTTGGGAGGGAGCTAAATTTGTGCTTATGTTTGCGGCCTCTCATTGCCACTGGGACGCAAACTTTGAGGCGGGGGTTTGTTGATGTTTGCGGCTGACAAGCGCCTCGTCAAGCGAAGAGACGTTACCGGGGTTGTCGGTGATGTGCCAGTCACTGGCGCCGGCGCCGGGCGACGCGCAGCTCTCGTCGTCGCTGCCGTCGTCTGCGTACCCGCGGAGGTCGGCGGCCGCCGCCGGCGTCTGCCGCTCCTGCAA